ATCTGGGCCCACATGGAGCCAGAGAGCCAGGAATCCCATCCAGGTCTCCCACATGGGTGGCAGGGGCACAAGTACTTGGACCATCTTCTGCTGCTTTCCCAGGCATGTTAACAGGAAACTGGATGGGAGGTGGAGTATCTGGGATGCTCACCAGCCGTCCGATGCAGGATGCTGGCATCACAAGCGGTGGCTTAGCACACTGTGCCACAATGCTGCTCCCTGCTTTGGCTTTAATATCAATGTAGCTGTTGCCTGATGATAGTTCATAGAAGCTTACACGTATGTTTTCTCATAAGAATTTTATCATCTTAGGTCTTGTATTTAGATTTTCAATCCATGTTGAGTTAATTTTTATATACGACATGAGGTAGGGATCAAACTTCATTCTTTTGCCTGTGGTCATAATGCTCTTTAATTCATATTCCCACACACATGTATCATAAAAAATCAGATGCTTCTGCCTCTTTATTTTTGTGGTCTTGCCTTAGTATACTATTAGAAAATGCTTGTTTTTATGCAAGCTTCACAATTGTTTTTTAATTCATGCAGAATATTCTGTGAACTCAGTACCATAATATCCTGAATCTTCCCTATTGTTTGCGTGCTTGCTGCTTTTCATGTTTTGGCCTATTATGGAGAGAGCTGCTGTGAACATGTATGTATGTATGTATGTAAATTCTTTAGAATTTTCCTTAGGAGACATTCCTAAGCATGGCATTTTTTTCTTTTGTTAGAGGCTATGGACATTTTTCTAAACATATGTTTTCTTGTTATATGTTAATTTTATTTGTTTCTGAAAGGGCTTTCTCATCACCACACCCAGTGATACATGAATTTTACTACAACTTCATAACACAGGTGTTAGTTACTGTACTAAAGGTTTTTGCTAAACTCTAGGAATAAAGTCATAATACCGCAAGATTAGCTTAACTTTTGTCTTTCTCTCTCTTTTTTTTTTTTTTATGTAGATATTTATTTTAAAGTCAGTTAGAGAGGGACAGAGAGAGATATCTTCCATCTGTTAGTTTGCTCCTCACGTGGTCACAATGGCCAGGGCTGAGCCAGACCGAAGCCAGGAGCTCGGAGCTTCATCTAGATCTACCACATGGGTGGCAGGGGCCCAAGTACTTGGGCCATCCTCTGCTGCTTTGTTCCCAGACCATTAGCAGGGAATTGGATCAGAAGTGGAGCAGCTGGGACATGAACTGGCACCCATATGGGATGCCAGCCTCACAGGTGTCTGCTTCACCCATCACACCACCATGAAGCCCCTCCTCTTTCTTTTAAAAATTAATTTGTGTATGTGTGTGTTTAAAATTCATGTGGTGGATAGGGGTCTTCACGGGGAGCAGGAGCTTGGTACAGTGGTTAAGGCACTGTTTGGGATGCCCACATCCCATATTAAAGTGCCTGGTTTGAGCCCCAGTTCTCCACTTCTGATCCAGCTTCCTGCTGATGCACATTCTTGGGTGATGCTCATGGCTCAAGTACCTGGGTCGCTGCCACCCACATGGGAGATCTGGATTGAATCCCTGGCTTTGACCTGGTCCAGCCCTGGCTATTGAGGACATTTGGGGAGTGACTCAGAGGATGGGAGAAATCTCTGTGTCTCTTTCTGCCTTTCAAATAAAATGAAAACAAATAAATTTTTAAGAGTTCATGGAAATGTATATTATGAAAAAATGCATGGATTTCAAATACTTTTTTGCACTGAAATAACTATCTTTTAAAAAGGGTGTATTTATTTATTTGAAAGGCAGAGTTACACAGAGAAGGAGATCTTCTGTCCACTGGTTCACTCCCCAAATGGCTGCAACAGCCAGGGTTGGGCCAGGCAGAAACCAGGAGCCAGGAGCTTCTTCCTGGTCTCCCTTGTGGGTGCAGGGGCCCAAGCACTTGGGCCATATTCTACTGCTTTCCCAGGAGCATCAGCAGGGAGCTGGATCAGAAATAGAGCAGCCAGGACATGAACCAGCACTCATATGGGCTACTGGCATTATAGGTGGTGGCTTAACCTGCTGTGCCACAATGCCAGCCCCGATAACTTTATTTTTTTACTTTAAATTTTCCATGAATTTTTTGAAGTACCCTTGTATCGTATGAAAAGTCAAAGAATACTAACAACAATAACAATAGCCTTCTTGCCCAGCGTCTCCTAATTATTTTAGACGTGTGTTCTCTAGAGGCTCTGACAGAATCCTAGATAAACAGGGGTTTATTTCTTGTCCACTGGGAACTGAACAGGTATAACGAGTCTGCTGTCTGAGGCTGATGGGGCCATTGCTCTCTCTTTCTCCTTCTTCATATTATCCGTGTTTTATTTTATTTATTTATTATTTTTTTATTTGACAGTTTGAGTTATAGACAGTGAGAGAGAGAGACAGAGAGATAGGTTTTCCATCCGTTGGTTCACTCCCCAAATGGCCGCTACGGCCAGCGCACCGCGCTGATCCAAAGGCAGGAGCCAGGTGCTTCTTCCTGGTCTCCCACGCGGGTGCAGGGGCCAAGCACTTGGGCCATCCTCCACTGCACTCCCGGGCCACAGCAGAGAGCTGGCCTGGAAGAGGAGCAACCAGGACTAGAACCCGGTGCCCATATGGGATTCCAGCGCCACAGGCGGAGGATTAACCAAGTGAGCCAAGGTGCCGGCCCTTATCCATGTTTTCTAAGTGGTTCTTCACTTCATCACGTGTCAGTAAGCAAGAATGGGCAGGGCGAAGAATGGGGAGAAGGCCATGCTCCCTCCCTTTGAGAACATGACCTAGAAGTTGCCTCTGCCCTGTGCCCGAGGGCCATAACTGGCTGCAAGGGAAGCTGAGCAGTGCTGCTGTTAGCCCGGCAGCCACAAGCCCCGCTCAGCCTCCCGTTGCTGAATCAGAAGAGGCAGATAGAGCAGTCAACTGGCAGTGTCTACACAGCCTTTGCTCTCATGGACCTCCACATCCGTGTCATGTGCCCACATTGCTGTGTCTCAGTTCACATTGCCTAGTGTCTTTCACTCTGACCTCACCTTCCAGCCTGCTACCAACAGTGTATCATGTTGGCAGGATTTGCAGATATGCATGTCTCCTTTGAGAAGGGCCTGCTATGAAATCAGAGGCACAGGTCCCAACTCTGAGAAGCGAGTCCGCATGTGGCTGGCTCTGGCAGCTTGTGCCACCCAGGTCATACATCTGGACCCTAGCCTTGGAGAGCAGTTGGGGTTGCACTTCACTCTGTCCCCACCACACCCTGGCCTGTGCTTCCTGACACCCCAGGTCAAAGAAGGTAAACACTGGCTTCAAGGGGCCAGCACTGTGATGCAGGGGGCTAAGACTCCACCTCCGGCACTGGCATCACATATGGGTGCCAATTTGTGTCCCTGCTGTTCCACTTCCAATCCAAAGCTTTGCTTATGGCCTGGGAGGACAGTAAAAGATGACCCAAGTGCTTGGTCCCCTTTGCCCACTTGGGAGTCCCAAGGGAAGCTCCTGGCTCCTGGCTTTAGATCAACCCTGCTCCAGCTGTTGCAGTCAGTTGGGGAGTGAACCAGTGAATGGAAGACTTCTCTCTCTGTGACTCTGCCTCTCAAATAAATAAATAAAAATCTAAAAGAACAACAACAAAAAACTAGCTTAGATGCATACAGAGCCTACCTTTACCTCTCTGAAATATGAATCCTAAATTCTGGGTTTGAGTGGGGGGTTTTATAAAATACATCTTAGAGAATTACATGAAGTCTTAAAACACAGCAAGTGTTGTAAATCATGAGAGGCTATGCATTGTCAGTTACATGTGTTGTCAATATTCAGAGCCCAGTTTGTACACCTCTCGTCCTTTCTCACCCTGGGGCTTTATTTAGTTCTTCCTGCCTCTGCCCTACACTCAGTAAAGATCTGTGCACACGCGTGTGCAGCTTAGTGTGAAACTGATACAGTGTTTGGGTAAATCCCAGTGGCTTTATTATGACCACATAAATAATGTTCCCAGGTGAGCCAAGCTTATACTGTGATTATATTTTCATTTTTACTTTTAACTTCTGTTCTTCCTGAAATTCATAATGTCGTCTTTTTTTTTTTCATTTGCTTTGTGTTTTTTGACCCTCCCCAAAGCCCTTTGAGACTCTTCTGAATACAATTTCCTGCGTATTCCCACTTGCCAGATCATCTGCCGATTTCCTCATTTTCCTGAAGATGCCTCCCAGGACCCTCTGCTGTGCTTGCATCTGACCTGGCCACTGTGCAGACAGAAGCCAGGAGAGTGCGCATCCAGACCCTCCCTCTGTCTTCATTCTGTGGATGTCCCTACTCTTTTTTTCTCTATTGAATTCTCTAATTCCTGGAGCCCAGATCTGTCTCTTTTTTGATCTACCCCATTGTTTTACTGGAACACATCCTCTAGTATCTCCTAAGAAAAAGGTACTTGGGAAGGAACCATTTTGTCTCAGGATATCTGGGACTCTGTCTTCTCTCCTGTTCATGTTCTGCTCCCTACCCACTTCCATCTTCAAGTGTTACGGTTTGGGATTTCAGATGTCTCCTAGTTCCACCGTAGATGGATTGTGTCTCTCATTCTTCTGTACAAGGGATCTTCAAAAAGTCCATGGAAATGAGTATTATGAAAAGCACTATGTGTAGATTTCCATTATTTTGGAACAAAACAAACTTATGTTTAAATTCCACTTTCCCACAAACTTTATGAGGTCCCCGATTACACTTGAAGTATTTTTCAAAAGGACAAACTGATGATGGGACTATCTTTACAATCTGGAAAGCAAAATGCTGTTTTTGCTTATTTGTTTATGAGCATAGATGAACATTCTCTCATGTGCTTGTGTAATCTGTTGATTTTTCCCCCCGGGTGTGAATTATCTATTAATACTCTTCAAAGGACAAATTCTTTAACAAATTAGCATGAAACACAGACGTTCTGGTGCTGCTTCTCTTCCTCGTCTCTGAGGTTCAGCTGGTGTTGCCGCCTGAGCTGCCCGGAGCCCACAGCTATTCTGTTCTCATTTTCAGATTGCCTCACACCTGTGATGGCTGTGAACATGCTCACCCAGCAGGAAGTCCCTGTCGTCATCACGGCCAGCGCTGACTTCGAAGGCTCTCTGGATTCAAAAATAGGTAAGGAGCTATTGAAATATAATCCCAATAATATACTTTAAAGGCTGAGGATCAGAATACTTGCCTGTTGCTGGCAACTGGCAGAACTGTGGATTCCTAGTCTGCTTTGCTTCTTTGTAAAAATGACTGCATTCTTCAAAAAGTTCATGGAAAATGGAATCAAAAGATTGTTTATTTTGGTGCAGAATGTTTTTGAAATCCATGCATGATATTTTCATGATGTCCATTTTCGGTGAACTTGTTTTTGAAGACCCCTTATATATCACACCTTGTTAGATGCTATTGAGAATAATTTTTTTAAAAAAGTCTGGTTCATGACTCTTTAAAAAAAAGATTGATTTATTTATTTGAAAGGCAGAAGGAGAGGCAGAGAGAGAGAGGGCTTCCATCCACTGGTTCACTCCCCAAATGGCCACAACAGCTAGAGCTGGGCCCATCTGAAGCCAGGAGCCAGGAGCATCTTCCACGTGGGTGCAGGAACCCAAAGACTTGGGCCATCTTCTACTGCTTTCCCAGGCCATAGCACAGAGTTGGATCTGAATTGGAGCAGCCAGGAGTCAAACCGGCGCCCATATGGGATGCCGGCGCTTCAGGCCAGGGCGTTAATCTGCTGTGCCACAGTGCCAGACCCCATATCTGCACAGAGTTGGTGACCCGTATCCCTATGATGTGGGCAGTGATACAAGGCTGAGGAAAACCCAGTTTCCACGTTCATCCAGCCTGAGCAGCTCTGCACTGGGGGCTCAGGACACACGTGGGCACACGTGACCCACGTGGGCTGGGTTTGGTGAAGGATTGGTTGGGGACGTGCACTTGAGCTGCTCAGAAGAGGAAGGTGACACAGTGGTGAAACTGAAGGCCTGTTTGGAGCTGTGAATTGGACATCCTTGGCAGTCTTCCCCATTCGTGAGCGTCAAAGCTGTCGTCACCTAAGAGGAAGAACGGGGGGATGGGAACCTAGAGGCAGCTCTGATGTCCCAGTCCTCAGGATAGACCTGTGTATCTCCCGGTACCAGCCGGCATCCCTAATGCTGAGATCAGTTTTTGGGTAAATGATTTGAAGAGGCACCAAAGCAGAAAAGCAGTACCACGCCATTGTGGCCGTCTGCCTCTGAACATTTTAACACAGGAAGCGTGCTGTTCAAGGAAGTAATTCCGTTTATCCATTTGCTCATCAGTAACATTTATTAACACAGCCAGCCGGGATAACCAATAAATCAGGGTCTTGTTGATATGGCTTTGGGAGTGGGGTTTGTTTATTTGATATTTTGGGTCAACTCCTTGAACAATACCGAGAATTAGGAAGGGGAATTTAGGTAGGCATAGAAAATTGTTTTTCCAATTGTGTTGAAACTGTTTTTCCTGTTGTCTTGATTTCCCATAGTTGAAAAATTAACATTTCTAAATTCTTGTTTCTTGTCCTCCCAAGAAAAATGAAAATGGAAATAAACAAGAGATAAGGCAGTGTTTTCCCCGTGCCCCATCCAGTGTTAGCAATAGCTCGCTTCCCGGAGCCTCACTCCACAACACCATGGGCCAGAACATTCTTTATGTGGCCAAGTCCATTTGGGGGTCATGATGCCCAGCTTCCAAACCACGCGCTGCGGGACGCAGGGGTGACCATGCCCTCCTCACCTTGCCCTGCGTCCCCAGCTAATCCCAGCTTGGGCCGGAATTGGGGGAGGGGAATGCTGCCCACCACAGCCCCTCCCCCCACAAGGCCCTTACAGAACCCATGGGAAAAACTGAGCCTTGTGCCCCCTGCAGCCAAAGCAGCAGCCGTGACCCCACCGTGTGCGCACTGCTTCACCCCTTCAAGGGCCCCGGGCGGGCTGCAGAATGGAGGTCGACTCGGGCTGTACCCTTATCTTCAGGAACAAAACACAGTTGCCAGCCTGCCACCTCCTGGCTGAGCAGATCTTTCTGGGGTGCCAGGAAATGCTGGCGGAGGCAGCCACTGGCCGGGCACTGGGGAGGCTGGGGAAGAGGCTCCCCCAGCCGCCTGGGATCCGCTGTTTCAGCGACAGAGATTTGTGTATTTTAGCATTGCAGCTATTTAAAAAGAAAAAGAAACCAAGCCAAGGACAAAGACTGAAAGGAAATGCCACCGGCCTGGCAGCCTGGGTGTGTGCGAGTGGTGGGTTTCTCTAAGACCGTGTACTGTTTTCCCCTTGCCTGTGACGTGGTCGCATAGGTACTTCGGTGCTGTCGGTTGGTTGTGATTCGGGCACTTAAAAAGATGCTTTGTGTCTCTTCCCCTCTGAATAGGAATTCCCAGCACGAGCTCAGAGGACAGGATGCTAGCCCACGCCTTGGGCCTACCCTACTCTGAAGTCATTGAGACTTTGCCGGACGGCACAGAGAGACTGAGCCACTCTGCTGAGGTCGGTGCCCCTAGGCCTGAGACAGACGGCGTCCTCCTAAAGCCCTGACCTTGGTGGCAGTTTGGCGAGCTGTCGTCCCTCTGGGGCCAGTGACAGCCTGCCCCCGCCTCCCCAACCTGTCCCCACCTCTAAGTCTGCAGCTTTGTTCCTTCATCTTCAGGATAAGTTTGTCAGCTCCGTGTCTATCTCCTTCTGCAATAGTATGGTATCGAAGTAACTTCACTGTGTCTTGGGAATCTCCTGCCTGAGAAAGAGTCTTTCCCAAGGAATCTCGGGGGTGGGGGGGGGGGGCAGTGGAAATTGGCCCTTCCTGGGAGAGGCAGCTGTTGTCTCCAGATGACTGATTTATGTCCCCCTGAAGGTGAGCTCCCAGAAGGCAGCAGAGAAGTTCTGATTGGAGTTTATTTGGTCGAGGTTGTCTCTGGCTCACAGGAGGCAGCAGCTTTTGAAGAGGGTGCATCTGGCCGGATTTGAACCCAGCCTCTTGGGTGGAGCGAGACCAGAGAGTGATGGAAGAGGCAGGGGAGGGAGGGGCGTGGTTGAGAGCAGTGAGTCTCAAGCTGGAGCTCCCAGCAGAACCACCAGGTGGGCTTGTTACACACGTGGCCTGGCTCCTCCCCTGAGGTATGGTTCAGTCATCTCAGGTGGGTGGGACCCACAAATTTGCATATCTAGAAAGTGTCTGGTGCTATTGCTCACTGCGGCTGGCCTGGTTTAGAACCTTGCCGCTTAAAGTCTTGTCCCCAGATTGGTGACATTGGCAGCACTTGTCAGAAGGGTGGAATCTCAGACCAAGATCTCTGTGTGATTTCTATGCACGTTAAAGTTTAAGCATACCGTAGCACTCATTCCTTTTTTTTTTTTTTCATTTTATTTTTAAATTATTTGAAAGGCAGAGATAGAAGGATGGAGAGGGAGAGGGAGATCTTCAATCTGCTAGCTCACCCCACAGATGGCCACAGCAGCTTGTGGCTGAGCCAGGCTGAAGCCAGGAGCCAAGAGCTTCCTCCAGGTCTCCTACTTGGGTGACAGGAGCTCGAGGACTTGAGACATCTCCTGCTGCTTTCCCAGGTGCACTAACAGGGAGCTGGATTAGAAATGGAGCAGCCAGGACTTGAACCTACGCCTACATGGGATGCCAGCACCTGGAGCACTTTTTTTTTTTTTTAAGATTTACTTATTTTATTTGAAAGTCAGAGTTAGACAGAGAGAGAGCGAGAGAGAGAAGTCTTCCAAACACTGGTTCACTCCCCAATTGGCTGCAACGGCCAGAGCTGCACCTATCTGAAGCCAGGAGCCAGGAGCCAGGAGCTTCTTCCAGGTCTTCCACAAGGGTGCAGGAGCCCAAGGACTTGGACCAACCCCTACTGCTTTCCCAGGCCATAGCAGAGAGCTGGATCGGAAGTGGAGCAGCCAGGACTCAAACAGGCACCTATATGGGATGCTGGCACTGCAGGCAGCATCTTTTCGTAACTGCTATGCCACAGTGCTGGCCCTGAGCACTTGTTCTTAAACATGGCTGTAAATTGGAAGTATCCAGGAAGTGTTTTAAAATACCAATGCCTGGGGTCCCACCCCAACGTTCAGAGTTAATGGTTGTTGGTGAGGACTTGGATTGGACATCAAGAGCGGTCAGAGCTTTCCAGGTGTTTCTCATGTGCAGCAGGATCTGGGAACGCCTGGGCTAGCATGGTGATCCCACATCTGGCCGTGTCTCTGAATCACCCGAGAGGTGCTTCCTGGCCCTGCCCTGGGTGATCCTGACTCCGTCAGACCTGAACATGCAGGTTTTTCAGGTTTCTGATACAACTACAGATTTTTTTCCTTTCTAAAGAGTGACTTCATTTTCTGTCCACATGTTTGTGTCTTCATTTCTTTTTTCTTTCTTTTTTTTTTTTTTTTTTTTTTGACAGGCAGAGTGGACAGTGAGAGAGAGACAGAGAGAAAGGTCTTCCTTTGCCGTTGGTTCACCCTCCAATGGCTGCCACGGCCGGTGCGCTGTGGCCAGCGCGCCGCACTGATCCGATGGCAGGAGCCAGGTGCTTCTCCTGGTCTCCCATGGGGTGCAGGGCCCAAGCACTTGGGCCATCCTCCACTGCACTTCCTGGCCACAGCAGAGAGCTGGCCTGGAAGAGGGGCAACCGGGACAGAATCCGGCGCCCCGACCAGGACTAGAACCCGGTGTGCCGGCGCCGCAAGGCAGAGGATTAGCCTAGTGAGCCGTGGTGCTGGCCAGCCTTCATTTCTTACATCACACCCCTCAAGACGCGAATCTATCAGTGAGATACCGAACCTTCAGCCTCTTTCTAGACCTTGTTGGAGTGTGCTTCTTGCAGGGGAAGCCGATCTAAGCTAAAGTGTCTGTGAGGGAGCCCTGTTTAGCCCTCCGTAGTGGAGAAAGGGCACACCAGGGCCAAAATTCGGTCTGGAGTGCTCAGAGAGACACCTGTGCCTCCGTGTGGGCTTGCGAGCTCCCTGGCTTCCCGCACACTGCCTTGGTGCTCTGGTGGAGAGGATCAGGAGTTCTTTCTGTGAGTGGAGGGAGGACGGAGGGGGCAAGCCTGCTTCATCCGTGAGGTTCTGGGACAGAAGGCAGTGGTGCACGGAGAAGACAGACTTCAAAGGGAACTCATATCTGCATCATTCGACCTGCTAACAGAGAGCCGGACATGGAGCATCTTCCCGGGGCTTGAGGGGTTCCTTGGTGGGGAGCTATGTACACCAGGGACCTTCAAATGCCTGCGGAAACAGCTGCCTTTGGGAAGCAGCTGCGCTTTCATCCTCTGTACCCCAGGACTGTCAGCCCCTTGAGGACGGGGCAGACCCCCAGTGCACGTAGGTGTGCAAGAAGTATTCACTGACCCAATCACAGCCCACCCATGACCCTGGCTGTTAGCAAGACGCTCTGAAAAGCTGCAGGTGGACAGGGAACTGCTCTGTGTGCTGTTAGTGTTTTGGCCTGCTGTCTGTGAGATGGGAGCATTTAAACCACACAGAGTGGTCCAGTTCCCCAAGCCAGGGTCCCAGTTCCTTCCCTTGCTCGCCTGGGTTCTTCTGCTCCGGGATGATACTGAGTTCTTTTCTGGAAGTTCCTCTCCTCCCCCTCCCCACAGGTGAGCAGTCAGTAAGCATACAGGCTCTGCGCTGTTCACCAGCAACTAAGTGCTGATACTTGGTGTTTTGTAAGTATGGTGGGACTGCGGTGATGAGGATACCAGAGCCAGCTCACCCATTAGACCTGGTGGGCATGGGGCCTGGATCCCCTCTCTCCACCCCAGTACTTTCAGAGACCTCCCAAGAGGTTTTAATTTCTTCCAAAGTCAAGAGGAAAGTGAACTTTCAGGGTCAGAAGTCATACTCGTCTTTACAGCAACAGTGGTAACATTTTTAAGGTTAATCATAAGGAGGAGTCCCCTCCCTACTCCCCCACCAACACAAGCCTAAGGCAGCCCCTTGCTGAACCTGGCAGTGGGGGTGGGGACTTGTCTCATGCCGGGAGCAACAGTGCCCTGTCTCTCCCTCTCAGTTCACAGGTATGAGCCGGCAGGATGCTTTCCTGGCCCTGACTCAGAAAGCCCGGGAGAAGAGAGTGGGAGGAGACGTGACAAGTGACAAACTGAAAGACTGGCTGATCTCACGGCAGCGCTACTGGGGCACGCCGATCCCCATTGTCCACTGCCCGGCCTGCGGCCCCGTGCCTGTGCCCCTGGAGGACTTGCCCGTGACCTTGCCCAGCATCACGGCCTTCACCGGCAAGGGTGGCTCCCCACTGGCCACGGCCACAGAGTGGGTGAACTGCTCCTGCCCCAGGTAGGGAGCCATGTCCCCGCAGCAGCGCCACCAGCCTCTCTCCCCCTCCCTCTCCCCCTCCTGGTGCTACCCTCCTAACCATTTTCCTGTGAATTGCATTAGGCTGGAAAGAATCCTGCAGCTCTTTCCAGACCCTTGAGAGAAGGGTGTGCAGCCTGTGGCCGCTGTGGCGGGCGCCCTCCCCCTCTGAGCTGTCGGAAGAAGCAGGTTGTCAATTCAAACCTTTCCCGGAAGTGTCAGATCCCACAGGTGGAACATCTACACGTTTCCACTGTGTTTTTTTTTTTTTTTTTTTTTTTTGAAGATTTTATTTATTTGAGAGGTAGAGTTACAGACAGTGAGAGAGAGAGAGAAAGGTCTTCCTTCTGTTGGTTCACTCCCCAAATGGCTGCTACAGCCGGCGCGCCGTGCCAGTCCGAAGCCAGGAGCCAGGTGCTTCCTCCTGGTCTCCCATGGGGTGCAGGGCCCAAGCACTTGGGCCATCCTCCACTGCCTTCCCGGGCCACAGCAGAGAGCTGGACTGGAAGAGGAGAAACCGGGACTAGAACCGGTGCCCATATGGGATGCCAGTGCCACAGAATTAACCTAGTGCGCCACAGCGCCAGCTCCTCCACCATGGTTTTGTAAAAGATCAGTCTCTTCTATTTTTGTATCCCAGGTTGCTTCCTGGAGACGAGAGGGGACAGTTTCTCTTCTCTGCTTTTTGGTTTTCCAACATGGGGACAGTGGTGACAGTGGAGACTGGACCCCAAGGAGCAGAGCAGGAGCTAAGAAGGGACCTGTGCTCAGGGACTTCCTTCGTAATAAACTGAAACTCGTGCTTCCTCTCTGCTCACTTCGGAAGTGCTGTTAGGTTTTTCTGTCAATTCACTGACTCATCTCAAGTGTGATTTTTATGGTGCCATTTTGGTTGATTAAACAAAAAATAACAGCCATCGAGGCCCAGTGTTTTCCTCCTGCTGTCTTACGCTGCCGTGTAGGCCAGATGAGGATGTTTGAAACAGCTCAGTGCTCTCAGTCCAGAGCTGCCTTCCCGGCTTGGTAACGGTAGCCACAGAGTACAGTTGAAAGTCTGGGGCCGGAGAGGCGGAGTGTGTCAGCTTCAGGTTCCGGTGCTGCCTCTTCCCCAGCTCTCTGGCATGGGGGAAGTCGCTTCGGCTCTCAGAGCCTCAGTTCCTTCATTAGGGACTTAAATCACCCGCGGGAAGGACGTCCAGAGACTCGGGTGCACACGCTGATCTGTGTGGTGGCACCCGGCAGGTACTCGGTAAATGGAAGCGCTACCGCCGCCCAGCCAGAGACCTGCCGGGCCATGATGCCAGTAATGGAGCTTGTAGGTGGGAACTTGGGCAGCCCTGGGCCGTTTTAGGGTAAAACGTTTGCCACAGGAGGAAGACAGCAGGCCACCTTTGTGGATAAGCCATGCCGAAGGGGCTCCCCGCAGCTGCGGCCTTGGTGGGGCTGTGCTCCCCCTCCCTGACTTCAGAATTCTGGGAGGGTGGAACCCAGAACTTGGTGTTGACAACACATCCTGCAAGATTCTTTATTTTCTTTAAAGATTTATTATTTATTTATTTGAAAGGCAGAGTTACAGAGAGGCAGAGGTAGGGAGAGAGGTCTTTCATCCACTGGTTCATTTGCCAGGTGGCCATAGCAGCCAGAGCAGGGCCGATCCAAAGCCAGGAGCCCAGAGCTTCTTCGGGGTCTCCCACATGGGTGCAGGGGCCAAGGACTTGGGCCATCTTTCACTGCTTTTCCAGGCCATTAGCAGGGAGCTGGATAGGAAGTGGAGCAGCTGAGACTCCAACTGGCACCCACATGGAATGCTGGCACTGCAGGCAGTGGCTTGACCCTCCTATTGAGCTCTGTGACCTTGGGCAGGTTTCTTACCCTCTCTGAACCTAGTCACTGCACTGTGGAGCAGGGGTTGAGTAGTAGTAGGACTCCTGGGGATTAAATGAGACAACACCTGTGCTTCAGTACCTGCTACCCGGTCTTAGTATTCTTACTACCACAGTAACACTAGTGAGGTCATCATCACTCTTGCCGCTCACCCAGCTCTCCTTGTGAGCAGTACAATGTGTTGTGTTCCGTGTAACCAGGCCTTTCAAGAGGAAGTCAGCGTGGCGAGCATCCGCCAGGGCGATGCCTTGCATCCACGCAGCCTGCACTTGCTTCCTCTCTGGAAGCAGTGCACAAGTAGCTGAGGAGGAAAACGTCGCCTTTATCTTCTAATTATTTCTCAAAATAGAAGTGTGTTCTGGTTGATTGCTCACCAAATGAAAAGACCTGTCTTTCATTTAGAGGCACTCCTGAGACCAGCAGCCCCTGGCGGTGGAAACAGGATTCCCTTAGGAAGCACCTGTGCTCCCGGTGCAGGGGGTCCCTGGAGTCCTGAGTCCCTGCCAGATTTGGGGCTCCCACACTCTTTGCTCAGCCGCTTCGGTTTAATCGGCTGACATGGGGGAAGGGAAGGCAGGGGAGGGGAGGGGTGACTGTTTCCTTCAGTAACAGAGGGAAACATCAACAATTCATGGGAAATGGAATATTTTTAAGAATTCAGAGCTGACACCCGTGGCATGGCAGGTTAGGCCACCGCAGGGAACACCTGCTTCCTGTATGGGAGTTCCAGTTCAAGTCCTGGCTACTGTGCTTTCTGCTAATGCAACCTGGGAGGCAGCAGATGATGGTCCAAGTGCTTGGGCCCCTGCCACCCACATGGGAGACCCAGAGAGCATTCCAGGCTCCTGGCTTTGGCCTAGCCCAGCCCTGGTTGTTGTGGGCATTTGGGGAGTGAGCCAGCGGATGGGATCTCAATCTCTCCCCCCCCCCCCCCTTTTGTGTGTGTGTGGTGTATATGTGTGTTATTCTGCCTGTCAAATAGATGAAAATAAGCATAAAGGAAAAAAAAGAAAACCCTAAGAGTCTCTGACTCTTTTAAAAAAAGGTTTATTGTGTTGCAAAGATATTTTGAAACCCACGTAGCTTTGTACAGTATATATTCTATACATAATACATAATTTCCATGAACCTTTCATGCGCAGGAATTTCAACTGTTTTTTCCTCCAAATAGATTTACTTTGTGATGCCATTTTTCATTGAAAATTTTAAAGTAGCCTCGTAAATAGCCTCTTAGAGCCAGCAGGAACTGCCTCACCGATTCAGGATACAAATACAACCCTTTTCTTCTTCTTTTTTAAAATTAAAAGCAGCCCGAAGCCCTCACCTGCTGATTCAGTGAAAGGTGTGTCTAGTTGCTCTTGGGACTCCCTGTCCCACTCCCTGAGTCTCCTAGGAACCGCCTCCTCCCCCCAGGACATTCACTGCCCAAGGTGCAATATTTGCAGAGGTGGTTGGCCCTGCGTACACGTATCAGAGGGGAGAGCTGGGGTCTGAGCTGGGCGCTCCTGCTGTGGCACCGCACTGCACTCGGGGCCCCGTGCACAGCCGGCCATCTGCAGCTCTGGGGGAGTGCTCAGGAGGAGCTGAGCCCTCGCCTGTACCAGGCTTGGCCAAGGGCACCCTCTCTTGTGTTCCTAGCCCTTTGGCACCTGGTTGTTCGAATTGCACAGGCCCGTACCCCGAGGGATGTCACTACGAGCGAGTGCAGCACTGTGCCCTCGTGGGCCTTGGTCCCCCGTGCATATCCGTCCCTTGGGAATGGAGTACTTGCTGCTTCCAGCTCTCACACCCCAGGGCTCTCGTCACACTTGCATAGGAGCCTGCCTTTAGGCAGCGGGGTGGAGGGGCTTCTGGTGCTGCGGTGTTTGCCAATTTCTGTGGGGCATGTCCTCCCAGCAAGGCCAATTTCAAGCTCCTGGCTTGACATCACTTGTCAAGGAGTTGGGAGTTGACTCTCGCAAGCTGGTATGAGCTGGCTCCATCCGACCAGTGCCTTTGCGTGATTGATTTTCCTTAGGTGGCCCCAACGGGTGTCTGCACCAACCTCCCTGGAGCAGAAGTAGGGAAAAGCCAAGTTCATTCTGCATCAGACCCTGCTGCGTTTGGTTCCTCTCTCTCCGTGCACTGATTTGCTTCATAAGCATCACGAAGCAGGCACTGGCTGAAGGCAGTCTTGACCCGTGCAGAAAGCAGACACCTAATCCTGGTTGGTTTCCTACCAGGTTCGAGTGGGAGAAGTGGAGAATATATGATGCTTTTCATTGTTGAAGGTTGCGATTTTTATTTTGTAAATTTCTTTAGGGCATCACGGAGAATCTAAAAGGAGAGCTTTCTCTGAAGTGTCTTTTCACGACGTGGCATTATACTTAAGACATGTTAAATTCATGCCCATTTCATAGCTTTCTCAAGAGCTGGTGGAAAACTGCAGTAAAATTTAAAGAGAGACCCGTGGATGAGCTTCATTTATTTCTCAGGTGCAAGGGAGCAGCCAGGAGAGAGACGGACACGATGGATACCTTTGTTGATTCCGCATGGTACTACTTCCGGTACACTGACCCTCAGAATCCGCACAGGTAAAGCCCCCACCAACCATCCCGGAGTGCGTGTCACTTGGGGCCCTCCAATAACAAACATCGCGGTAAATTAGATGTGCAGGAGACTTGCAGAGACGCCTATGCAGGACAGAGGGGAGAGGAGCAGGAGAGCCCTTAGACTGCTGTGCGGTGTGATGAGGAAAGCCGAGCCTCAGACCACGGTGCAGCTCTGGGGAAGCCTCAGCCAGGCTGGCAGGGAGCCCCGGGCAGAGCGGGTCGGCTTCAGAGGCCCAGGGCTGGCCAGTGGCTCGGCACGCGTCCCCTCTGCTTGATCCTGGGAGGGTGCAGGCTGATGTGAACACCAGATGGGATCCACAGGTGATGATGTGGGAAGCTGTTGGTCTGCTGTGCCCTTGAAAACAGCGGTGTGTGTGTGTGTGTGTGTGTGTGTGTGTTAAATTATTAAGTTAGGTTATTCACAGCCAGATGAATCCAAAGAGAAGACCAGTTTCAAAGGAAACAGTAAAAGAAAGGAAATGATCCTGTAAGCTCCTCCTGAGAGGGCGCTGCCTTCGTGGGATTGCCAGGATGTGGGGCGGACACTGAAGTTAAGCTGCTGCCCTCGGGTGGGGTCGCGCCGCCACTCTCACCACTTCCTGCTCACTGCACCCTGGGAGGCAGCAGCGGGTGGCTCCAGTACTTAGGCCCCTACCACCCATGGAGGAGACCCAGATGGAGCTCCTGGCTTCCGCCTGACCCACCCTTGGTTGGTGCAGGCATTTGGGGAGTGAACCAGCAGATGAAAGATCTCTCTCTCTTTCTCTCTCTGCTTTTCAAGTAAAAATAAACTTTCCAAACAAAAGATATTATTCAACTAAAAACAATGATGTGACTATACAGGGATGGTAGGAGATGGGGAGTGTGTGACATGTGAGTAGCATTGTCTCCCATCACGTACAGATAGATAATGTCCCAACTTGATAATCGATAAAGAGTATAGACATGTTGCTTAGTAATTCCTGGAAGAAACTGCTGGAACCACTAAAAGTGGCTAAGGGACAGGTTAGGGGGTGGGGGAGAATTCGAGCTGGAGGCCACTGCTTTCAGCACTACTTGATTTTTCGGCTGCATTCAGGGTTTTGTTTTGTTTGTTTTTTGGTCAAGAAGGGAACAAAATTAAAGGAAAGATAGCAGGAGGTAAAGAGAGAGACTGAAATGTAAAGGGAACAATTATGGAGGCCAGGAAAGGTGTGTAGACTGTGCTGGAAAGGACCCTGCCAGAGTCTCTTGTCCCTCATGGAATATTCTGGAACATGTGAAAGTGCACTCTTCTCTTCGTGGGTTGTGAAAGACTTTATTTGTGGCCGCCTGGGTGCTCCCCTCCTGCCCCAGGAAGGCGTGGGATCCCGAGTCAGCGGCACCTAGCAAAGGCAGGAAGGGTGCAGGGTGCCTCCCGTGACCAGGAACCACCAGCATGGCCCTGTCCAGCCCCCAGAGGGTCCCTCTTCAGTGCCTTCCTTGTCAAAGGGGCCAGGGGCTGCTGGTGCTCTCCAGCTTAGACTGCAAGGGCAGGCCGGCGCCTCCGCAAGGAGAGCCTTCATGCAGACCCCGGGCTGGTGCCAGGTACGGCGTGAGACCTTCGCAGCCTCTTCGGGGGGAGTGCAGAGCACTTCACTTCCTGTGTGGTGTGCGTGACTTGCGTGATTGTTCCAGCTCTGCCTGGTTCCCTATGTAGAGATCATCACCCCGAGCTGGGACCACTTTCAGCCTGAATTTACCCCAAACTTGACTTCAGGCGAAATAGCATCCCTCCCTTCCCTTTCTTTATGTCCCCTGGGTCAACCATGGAGTTTCCTTCGGGTACGATTTTGCACAAAAAAATTTTACCAAACTGATGTTGTAGTGGCAGAGACCAGCCTACGCCCCTGCTGAGGGACAGGCTCCCGCTCCCAGCCCCAGAGCTGGAGCCGGCCACAGAGTGCAGAGCCTCCCAAGGCAAAGGCTTTCTTTTCTTTTTTTTTTTTTTTTTTTTTAAGGATTTATTTATTTATTTGAAAGGAAGAGTTACACAGAGAGAGGAGAGGCAGAGATAGAGATGGAAGTCTTCCATCCACTGGTTCACTCCCCAGATGGCCACAACGACCGGAGCTGTGCTGAACTGAAGCCAGGAGCTTCTTCCAGGTCTCCCACATGGGTGCAGGGGCCCACGGTCATCTTCCACTGCTTTCCTAGTCCATAGCAGGGAGCTGGATGGGAAGTGGAGCTGCCGGGACATTGGCCAGCACCCATATGGGATGCTGGCACTGCAGGCGGCAGCTTTACCCACTCTGCCACAGCACCAGCTCCAACAAAGTGTTTCTTGCTTGGTTGACAAAGTGTCCCCTCAGGAGTGGACAGGTCTGTCCCAGTTAGGAGTGGGAGTGTGAGGAAGGCTTTCTCTTAGCATCTGTTGTCTACAAAGTATCTATTAGGTAAGGAAGAGTTACTGGGCTACTTTATGACAATCTGCCCTCGGTGCCACCCTTGTGGCATTCAGGAAGTCCTGCACAGGCTTTTGCTGACTGACTGTATTTTATGGTTACTTGTAACAGTAACATTGAGTTTCTGTTTTAAAATGAACAGCATCTACATGTTACTCTTGATCATAAACACCACATTGCCCTCTGTCGGTCAGAACTGAGAAATCTCAACTGCCTAACTGTAATAAAAATGGAAATACATCTAGATACTCAAATATACGCTGTACCAAAACGCCTGTTGCTGGAACGTTTTGTTCTTCCCTCTTTGCAGACAAATTAGAATCGTTGCAGTCCATCAGTCACGTCTTCAGTGAGGGTTTCTCCTTCATTACATAATCTTTTCCTCTTATTTATATTTTAAGAAGGAAAATCACATATTCCCCGACACAGTTCATCTCACAGCATAGGCAGGTTCCAGTACGTTCTTGTATACAGTTGTGCCACTTTGGGGTTTTCAAAATTCCTGTTCTGCCTCTCACAGCCCTTTTGATGCGGCGTCGGCAGATTACTGGATGCCTGTGGATTTGTACATTGGAGGGAAAGAACATGCTGTCATGCACTTGTTCTATGCACGATTCTTCAGTCATTTTTGCCACGATCAGAACATGGTGAAACACAGGTGAGCAGTTCTACTCCTTTTTAGGAGAATCCGGTTCCTGCGGCAGCAGCTTGTGGCCGGAGCCGGTTCTTCGGAAGCACGCGCATGTTTGTAGCAGGTGTATTTGAGAGTCCTTATCAACCCTGACTGTTTGAGGCTGTGGCCAGTGCTGTTGCGTGCTGGCAAAGAATCTAGCCTTCTGTGCTTTTCTGTTGATAGAGCTGAGCTAAATTACTCGTCATGTTTACTTGTGAGACCAAAGAGAGTGGACCGTGACGTTAACCTGGCTCTGTAATCGTGTCTCCTGTGAGTCACCCTGATCATTCGGTTCCTCTGCGTGAGCTCTGCTGCTGAGTGTGGCCGAGTCCTGCTTTGACGGATGCAGCCCTCCATCGGTGGGCGCAGTGGATTGGAAGACAGGGAACCACATTGTAAATCTGTTGATAAATTCTGTTCCCACTGGCCTATAATCTGCTCCTCAGATGTTCAAAGAATATGGGCATGTGATTTTTATCTCGTGGAATGCATCATACTAAAGTCTATACTCACATATACTCATCGTGTATCTAAGGTGTGGTGCAATTTAAAGAAATGAACATACTGCCCCACTCCTCAGTCCAGGAGATAGAACATTCCAGTTTCCTTAGAAAGCCCAGGGTGCCCCTCCCGAATCACATCACCCCATTTCCTGCGCCCATCACCCCTTCCCCAGCCAGCGCCTATCCTGAATTTGAATTACTCACTTTCTTGCTTTTCCTTACATAAACGTACACATATATTTTTAAAGAATGTCTGTGGTTTGGTCTTCCTGTGTTTGAACTTCACCAAAGTAGAAGCATATTCCATGTATTCTGTCTTGTTTTCGTCACTCAGTGCAGATTTTTTTGCAATTCAGTTGATGCACGAGGCTGTGTTTCGTGTTTCACTGCTGTGAGGTGTCCCACTGTGCAGAGTGGAGTTTCCAGTTCAGAACCTGGTTTCTGTGTCTTGCCACCGTCCATTGCTGGGGAGTTTCGTGCAGTCACGGACAAACAGCCGTGCACATTCTTGCACGTGGTTCCTGACAGATGCGGGTCAGCATTTCCTTAGAGTGCATGCCTGGACGTACACTTGCTCACGGGGAGCGTATGTGCTTACTCAGCTGGGTCCCCCCATCTTCAGTAAGCTTCCTCTCACCCAGCCTGCAGAGTTAGCCAAACCGAGGGGCGCATCGCGGCCCACTGTGTCAGCTGCGTTTGAATTCCCAGACACTGGTTACTTAACGAAGCTCAGCACGCTTTGCTGTGTCTGTAGATCTCTGTTCCTCACGTGACATCTCTGTGTGTCCTTGGCCCTTGTTTCTTCTGGGTTGTCTGTTTCTTACCAACTTCCAGGAGTTTTGTAAGTATTCTAGATAATACTAATCCTTTTTCAGGTTAGAGAGGCGATTGGATGTTCTATGGGTGAGCGTTTGGCACAACTAAGGCCCTGCTTGAGACGCCTTGTCCCACACTGGGGTGCCCACTCGGGAGTACCTGGTTTGACTCCCGGCTGCTCCACTTCCAGTCCAGCCTCCCGTTGCTGTGTGCCTTGGGAGGTGACAAGAGATGGCTCAGGTTCCCTGCCGCCCTGATGGGAAGCTTCAGTTGTGTTCCAGGCTCCTGGCTTTGACTCAGCCCAGCCCTGGCTATTGCAGGCGTTTGGGAAGTGAACCAGCGGATAGAAGATTGATTGATTGCTTGATCTATTTATCTATCTCTTAACTTTTTCAAATAAAATGAAAATTACTTAATGAAATTACAATATTCTGAAGGATGTTGTATTAAACAGACAAACCAAAGAGCAGCAAAACCCCTGTGACAGCTGGAGTGAAAGTCCCAGGCACCGTGCTTCTAGCAGCGTGGCACAGAGGAGCCTGGATTGCTGCCCTGGGGCCAAACAAAACGGGGCAGTGCCAGAGAGGATATAAAATACACGGCTCCGACCGAGTCCCTGCACTGGCAGGGCGTCAACGACGACAGGCGGAGCCCTCGCTCAGGGACACGCAGCTCCCACAGCCAGGCTCCCGCTGCGGCCACGGCACGCCTTCTCTAGTTCTTGGCTGATTCTCTGGGGTTCTCCCATGAACAGAAGTCCTCAGCTAACTGCAGTGACCCTGGTCCTTCTCCTCTGTGACTGTTGCTTCTGGAGTCGGCATACCATTGATGCAGCCGTCCAACCTGTCACCACTCCCCGGGGGACCCTGTCCACTACTGGACAAGGGGTCAGACAGGCCAGGGCTGCTGCTGGGCTCCTGGCCCGTCTGTCTGCCTGCCTTTTGCTGCACTAGTTGTCTGCTGCCTTCATTATTTTTCTTTTACAAGTCTTGGTATCTAGTTGTTCTTTTTCTTCTCTTCAGGACACTTGGCCAGGGTGGAACCTTTGTTCTTGCATGTAAATCTTAGATTGGGCTTGTCAGATCCACAGAAGTACCTACTGGGAACATAACTGGAGGTGCATCTGAACTATGTTTTACCAGTGTCTGTCTTTTTTTTTTTTTTTTTTTAAGATTTATTTTATTTATTTGAAAGACAGAGTTACACAGAGAGGTAGAGACAGAGAGATGGTTGCAACAGCCGGAGCTATGCTGATCCAAAGCCAGGAGCCAGGAGCTTCTTCCAGGTCTCCCACATGGGTACAAGGGCCCAAGGACTTGGGCCATCTTCTGCTTTCGCAGGCCATAGCCGAGAGCTGGATTGGAAGAGGAGCAGCCGGGACTAGAATGGTGCCCATAAGGGATGCTGGTGCTTCAGGCCAGGAATTTAACCCACAGTGCCACAGCGCTGGCCCCTTATCAGTGTCTCTCTCCTCGCTCTTCCTCCTTACATCTTATGTCTTATTTTCTTTCGTGAAGACCCATCTGTTAATTTTTGTCTGAAATGTATTTATTTCAAGCTCTTGAGCAAGAGAGGGAGGGTAAGAGAGGGAGAGATCCTATGCCCTCTGGTTGATTCCCCAAATGCCTACAATAAATGGGGCTGGGCTGGGCCAGGCCAGGCCAAAGCCAGGAGCCAGGAACTCCATCTAGGTCTTCCCTGTGGGTGGCAGGGGAACAGACCCCCAGGGTGCACGTTAGCAGGAAGCTGGATCAGAAAGGGAGTCAAGACTCCATACCAAGTACTCCAGTTTGGGGTGCTGGTGTCTCAAGCATCAACCTCACCCACTGCACTACACTACGTACCCCTAAGCCTCATTTTCAAAAGACACTTGCATTTGATTTAGAGTTCCAAGTTGACAGTTTATCCCAGACCATTTTCTGGATTCTTTGTTGCCAATGGGAAGTCAGCAGTGGCTCCAGCTTGGTTTGTCGCTGCCTCTGGACAGATCCGTCTGTTCCTTCCGTTTGCTGTTCAGGCATTCTCTTTGACTTTGGTGTTGAGTTTATCTTCTGTGCTTAGGTGCAGATTTGGGATGTGGGGCTTCTTGAATCTGAAGGATGGCATTTCAAAGGTTCTCTGTCACCGTCTCTTCAAGTAGTATCTCTTCCTCATGCCACTTCAGTGTCTTCTTCTTCCGTCACTCCGCCTGAGGCGTGTAGACCTCAACAGTCTGCGTTCGCTTCCTTGCGTTGTCCTTTCACCTGTCTCTCTGCTTCCCCAGGCTGCGTTTGGGAGATTTCTTTACATCTCTCTTTGAACTTTCTAGTTGTCTCTCTTGCTCTAAAGTACTGACGAGCCCATTCTTTGGTTTTTTAGTTTCAGTACTTATGTTCTTTACCTTGGGAAGCTCTAGGGTTTTTCTCCCTCCTTTGCATCGTTTGAAAGCTTTCTTTCCTAGGATACATTCAGTGTAACTATTTCATATCTCTGACTGGCGATTATATGCCTGTGGTCATTGTCAGTCTGATTTAGACTTGTGCTGTTTCTACATTTGTGGCTTTTTGCTTCCATGTGTGAATCTGTGTGTGTGTGTGTGTGTGTGTTTGCATGTGTGTGAGTCTGTCTGTGTGTGAGAGTCTGTGAGTCTGTGTGTGTGGTGTGTGAGAGAATCTGTGAGTCTGTCTCTATGTGTGTGTCCATGTGTGTGAGTCTGTGTGTATGTGAGTTTGTATGTAGTGTGTGTCTGTGTGTGTGAGAGAATCTATGTGTCTGTGTGTGTGAGTCTAAATATGTGCATGTAAGAGTGTGAGTCTGTGTATGTGTGTATGAGTATGTTTTGTATATGTATGAGTGTGTGTGAGTCTGTGTGTATGTGGGGTGTGTGCGCGTGTGTGTGTGTGATATGAGTCTTGTGTGTGTAAGTCTGTGTGTATGTGTGAGTCACTGTGTATGTGTTTGTGTCTGTGTGTGTGTGATATCTTTAACCAATAGCTTTTATTCCTTGAACCTTTATGTGCAGGGTTTCTTGGCGCCTTCGTGCTGGAGATAATTTGTGTTCGCTTCTCCCTGTTGCCTGGAGATGTTCCCAACCCAACACCGCTTTAAATTAAATTCTCTGCCTGCAGCTTTTAGGCCCCCACAGGTAGCATGAGTGCAGCCCCAAACCCACAGGGAGTCAGCTCGTACTTACAGGTTCTCCAGGGAGATGTCTTTCTTTGCTTTGTTTTCCACTGATCTCCATGGCCATGATGGGCAAGGCCCCTTGCTTCTCTGTTCTACACCACACGCTTCTTTCTACTTCCATTTCCCTTGGACAGCGCCTGCCTTGTCTGGGGGTGTCCTCCTAGGCCCCAGGGCTGCTCAGGCCCAGGTGTTCTGCCCCATCTCCTTGATCCATGCCGTGCACAGAAGGGCAGGATCACGGGGCTCCCTAGATAACCCGAGGGGAAGCTGGCTTCGGGCGCTGTGTTTCCCTGGGTGTTGTTGTTGATGATGATGGTGTTGTTTCACCAGTGCAGTGACACATTCAGAGCAGTGTGTTTTATACCCTTCGCTGGCTTCTCCCCCTGTTTCGCATCAGAACAATAAGTCAGGCTCCCTTCTCTGCCTGCCACCAAAAGCATAGTGCCTAGAGTTTTTTTTTTATTTCAGTTGTCACTGAGTTTTCTGTTTGTTTAAGTACAG